CGAGCTGTGTGATTATTCCGTTAAACATATTTAAATGTGACAAAAAATTCGTACTTTCACCCATGTGTAGGGCGTATAGCTGCTTCTTCATGTATAATTTATTTGTCAGCGTTTTGGACATGTATATGCTTTCCAACTTTGTCCAAATGCCACATGCGGTGTCTTTATCAATGATGTTATTTACCACATCATCTGATAAGTGCAGCCTGATTGCACTAGCAGCCCTTTCATCCAAGTGAGCCCAATCCTCAGCTTTCATGGTATCAAGCTTTTTGGCATCAACATCTAGTACCTTGTGTAATTCTTGTTGGATGAGCATATCCTTCATCCTTCTTTGCCATGTTGAAAAACTACTATCTCCGTTAAATTTTGCTACCTCGTACTTTACTCCAGACATTTTTATTTTTCACCGAGTATAGTACTACCGACGGTGAATAATATTTCTGTGAACGAGCAAAACCTGTGCTCTGATACCAGTTGTTGGGAATAAACCCCCTACAAAAATAATATTCACGGTAATAAAAGATTTCATTATTAATACATTTATTAATTATTTTAAGTTAAGATATTATTTATTTAAAGATTTTTTTCTTAAAAATATATAGTTTAAATTCCTAATTATAAATAATATCTAGTATTTCTTATATATACATGTACATATCACACAATGAGATAGTAAAAAATATATATTTTGCTATCGCAATTTTAATTAATTAATTAAAGTAATGATATTATTTATTTGGAGGATATCTACTACTTTTAAGATATCATTTACTAATTTATAATTATTTAATATATATATATATATATATATATATATATATATATTAAGGCCTCTTATTAAGATTTTGCTTTAGGCCTCCGATGAGATTGGGCCGCCCCTGTTGTTGGGGTAAGGTCTGTGTACACACTACCCTCCCCAGACCCCACTAGTGAGATTATAATAGATTGTTATTGTAATAAGCTATTAAGTATTACACTAATTTAATTAAATCGGCACTTGAGTTGCGGTGGCATCTAAACGCATCACGTGGCGTGTTATATTTAAGCTCATAAGCTGAGTTGTTTTGAGCATTTTACAGACAAATTTCGGAAGGCAGCATCAGGCTGGGGATTTAATTTGCTTTATTAATTTCGGCAACAGACAGCAAGGCGAAAACGCTTTCATGAAATGTCCCTGTAACATGCATGAAGTTGTTTGAACTCCAAAAGACGACACTCATAAATTCTACGAGCTTTCACGCAATTTGCTAGTCACCAAAAACGGAAATCTCTCTAAGTATAGTGTAGGAAATATGAGGTTTTGACCAATATTGTTCCTTATCTTTGAGGGTAGGTCTATTTTGGTCCCTCAAATATAACTCTGACCATATTTAGTCCCTTAAGTATGCTAAAGTGGAGCACCTTTAGTCTCATTGACACAATGTGTTCAAAAACTAACGGTGTTACCCAACTCTGATTCATGAAGCAAATCTTCTGCTCTGAAGCAAACGTTGCCTATTTTTTTTATTGGATAACGCAAATTATCACTTTAATTTCTCATTTTTAGATAATCTCTTCTAAAATTTCGATCTTGAAAATATCTCCTTTTGTGCCAGTTTTCAATGAGAAAATGACACTATATAGCCGCTATAAAAATAATAGCCGAAAAATATATAAAGTTTGTATATATATATATATATATTCCTTTTTAATTTTTTTTTGTATGTTAATATATAAAAAATATACCAACTTTATATACTTATTCCGCTACCAGATGTAAATAGTTTTTGGCACGGACTAAAAATGATAATACAACCTGGTTATTCGTTTGCTTCAATAATATGCCTAGAAGTGATCCTGGCAGCTCTATTTTTTTCAAATTTAACTTTTCTTTTTGGAAAAATCAACCGAAAATTTTAAATGTATATATATATATACACAAAACAATTTATAAATTTTATACATTTTTCGGCTATTATTTTAACAACGGTTATACAGTGTCATTTTCTCATTGAAAACTGGCACAGAATGGGATATTTTCAAGAGACATTATCTAAAAATGAGGAATTAAAGTGATAATTTGCGTTATCCAATAAAATGAGAGGAAACATTTTGCTTTAGAGCAGAAGATTTGCTTTATGAATCAGAGTTGGGTAACACCGTTAGTTTTTGAATATATTGTGTCAGTGAGACTAAAGGTGCTCCACTTTAGCATACTTAAGGGACTAAATATGCTCAGGGTTATATTTGAGGGACCAAAATAGACCTACCCTCAAAGATAAGGGACAATATTGGTCAAAACCTCTAGGAAATATATACGTTTAAACTATTAGAATAGAATCTATTTATATAATGTAATATACCATTTCCGATGCGGGCCTTTATTAATTATTTTATTTTAAGTTTACCCCATCATGATTTCTTTTAAGTTAAACATATTGAGATAATTTGTTGATGGATGACAGCGCAACTTAAACCAAAATTAAAGAGCTTTACGTTCTTTAATACTATATATTGAATTAATTTAATTAAAAGTTTATATTGATTAGAAGAAATATGTATTGCTTCCTCTGTTTTATTTTATGTAACATTATTTTTTATTAGTTCTTTTCGCAAAGCATCTTTATACAAAGGCGGATTTATGCCCAAATTATAGAGTACGTGAATCCATAGTCTTTATGTCAAATTAGATTTTTTATATATATATTTCATAGAATTGAACTAATATTACTTGGTGGTCTCCATGCTCTAGAAAAGTTGAATGCTGCACTTAGTTAAATGTTGAGTTATTTCCCAAAGGGAGAAATATCAATTTTTCACTTAATACTTTTTTTCTCCTTTATTTAATTGTACACCCATGTTCAGAGATATATATTTAAAAATAATTTAACTTAAGCTTCTCACGTATAAGGTATGCTTTTATAGTCACAATAAATAATCTCAAAGAATATTTAGAACCACAAATTAAAAGTCTTTCTTTTATTATTTTTTAAAATCTATGCTCAATTAAACACTACCATATAAATTGAAACAAAAAATTTATTTACCTAGTTTAGGTCTTTGCTGCTATCCGCCGCTAGTTTTTCCTAACACGAATTTGATGGAGTTGGCAATGTGAGGCTTTAGCACCAGGGGCGGACCCACGTGCTATTAAAAGGGTTCAACTGAACCCGCTTCGTCAAAAAATTATACGGTATATATTGGTAATTGTAATTAAAAACATCGAAATACACCTATAGAGGGTTTATTTGAACCCGACCGTTTCAAGTCATCTCTCTATTGGGGTGGTCATGAGGGTTCAAATATTACGTGAGGTCTTGTGTTCGATCCTAACTAGCGCATCTCCCTACTTCAATTTTTCGTTTTGTTCACATTGAAACAGAGGATGTGCAACCAGCTTTCCAAATTAAATTGGACTTTGCATGTTGATAGGTTATATGTATCCATGTTATGATCTAACAAACTTATTGATAAGAACGAGATAAGGAACCTGTTGCACATCCTCAAGTACTTAAAGAACAACAAGTCTCAGTTTGGGGACGTGATTCAACTCTTGAGAGCCAAAGGAACAACAGAGGGAACAGATGGCCACCAGTTCCCGTTGGTGACTGTACAAGTCAACTCCCCACAACTGTTAAGTTACTGCCTGCACACGCAACGGTACAATAGTCAACTTTATGGGGAATGGCCTTTACCTAACTTGCTTACATCATTTAAGTGATGTCACAAATGAGTTATTTACATCAAGCAAAGGTAAAACAAAACACTTGTACATTCAAGAATTTATCAAGCATTTTCTCTCAAGTCTGTGCCAATCTTGCAAGTGATTATCAAGGGCATCAAGAACAAAGAACAACATAACGAAGGACCAGTTTTATGTATTGAGTCATTACATGTCCTTAGTTGTGTTGCACCTTTGTTAAAATTCTTTACTTGTAATTCCTACTTAGCTTAGTTAGAAGCATTGTGTAGAAAATCTTTGTAAATCATAAACCCTTGTGTTTGTACCTTGGCTAGAGTTAGTCGAGTTGTAAAGTCTTTGTAATAGAGTTATTACAAAGTGGCTTGTAATAGAATGTTACAAGTTAGTGAGGGATTAAGAGGTTAGTTCCTAGGTTACAATAGGTTGTAATCTAAAGTTTGCTCAGTAGTGAAGTTGAAATCCTACAAGGGTAGGTCGTGATTTTTAATCCCGTGAGCTGGGAGTTTTTCACGTAAAACTTCTTTGTCTCATTTACCTACTGCAGTGTGCGTGTGTTCTGTGGGAACTAATAGAGAACCTGGTTCTCTATATAGTTTGGTAGACCCTTAAATTCTATCAATTGGTATCAGAGCAGGTTCTTTTTAAAAGGTTAATACCAAGAAAGGATCTTCATCATAGCTGCTCCACCAAACTTCGAGGAAGGACAATCAACATACATACCACCTAGATTCAACGACCAATACTATGGTTGATGGAAAATAAGAATGCATGATTTCATCATAGGTGAGGATTCAGAGTTGTGGGACGTAATTTGTGACGAACTTTTTGTTCCGATGAAAACTGTTGATGAGGGAACAACTACAATCCCAAAAATGAGAAAAGAGTACAACAATATTGACAGAAAGGCTATTGAGAAGAATTTCAGGGCAAAAAAGATTCTTTTTTGTGGCATCGGACCAGATGAATACAACCGCATCTCAGCTTGTTAAAGTTCTAAGGAGATCTGGGAAGCTCTTCAAACAGCACACGAAGGGAAACTCAAGTCAAGCAGTCGAAGATCGACATGTTGACAACTGAGTATGAGCTCTTCAGAATGAAGGACGACGAGTCCATTCATGACATGCACACTCGCTAAACCTATATCATCAATGAGTTTCACTCATTGGGAGAAATCATCCCCAGGAAAAAACTTGTCAGGAAAATACTTAGTGTATTACTTGGTTCCTGAGAAAGCAAGGTAAACGCCATCACAGAGGCAAAAGATTTGCAGAAGCTGACCATTGATGAACTCATTGGTAATCTGAAAACATATGAAATGAAGAAGAAAAAGGATCATGAGAGAATAGAGTCCAAAAGGGATAAGAACCTGGTCCTAAAGACAGACAACAATGAATCAAGTGATGAGGATGCTGATAAGGCTTACTTGACAAAGAGATTTCAGAAGATGGTCCGCAAAAATGGAGGTATTCCAAAGAACGGCAACTCTAGCAAGCCAAGAGGCTATGACTTATGTCATAAGTGTGGAAAGTCAGGGCACTTCATCAAAGATTGTCCTCTTCTCAAGCAAGATCAGTACAAACACAATTCAGACAAAGCAGCTAAGATGAACTAGGTTCATGACAAACGATTCAAAAGAAAAGATATTGCCGACAACGTTGTGAAACAAGCTCTTGCTGCATGGGGAGACTCCTCAAGTGAATCTGGCGAAGATGATAACAAAGGTGACATCTCCATGATGGCAGTAGAAAGTGAAGCAACTGAATATGACTCTATCTTTACCCTGATGGCACAATCTGATGATGATGAAGATGACGATGAAGATGAGGTAAACTTTCTGGATGTTACAATGAAATTTGAAATCCTATTCTCAAAAGAAGCTTATATCTTTGGATAATGTTTTAATTGATGCTTATCACAGTCTCATTAATGATAAAAATGCGCTAACCACAGTACTAGGAGAAATAGAACACGAGAGAGATGATCTAGTGGTGGTTGCGGTTGATCAAAAAGAGACCATTGAGAGTTTAAAAAGGGAAAAAGATACTTTGACTGAGAGAATTGCAAATATAGAGCATGAGAGAGATGGCCTATTAGTAGTAGTCGTGGACCTAAAGGAAACAATTGAGGAACTAAAAAGGGAAGGTAGGCATGAGATTACCCAAAAAGGAAAGGAATTTGCAAGTGAGGCACACCTTAGGCTTGAAGATGAGCTAAAATCAGTGAAATCTAGTCTATGTGCTAAACTTGAGAGAAACAGACAACTTTAGGAAGATCTAGGCAGAGTTAAGAATGATTTAGAAAAGTCGAATGTCTCTAGTGAAGTCATTGACATGGCAAATGGAAAAACTGACATGATGAGTCAGGCCAAGGATTCAAATGACAATGGCACAGTCAAGGATTCAAATGACAATGGCACAGATAAATCTTTAGCTGACATAGAGGAACCCGGTTCCTCAATCACAACAACTGAAGCTGAAAATAGAGTTGCTGATGCAGATCAAAAGACCCCACATGCATAGAGAGAATCACATTCAGAAATACCTGGACCATCACACAACAAGATTCAGGTGTCTAACTGGAAACACAAAAGTTCACATCCTCTGGAAAATGTGATCACTCCTCTTGATTCAGGAATTCAAACCATATCAAAGGCAACAAACGCTCTTGTCTTCTCAGCTTTTCTCTCTCAAATTGAGCCCAAGAATATCAAGGAAGCATTAAAAGATGCTGATTGGATTACAGCTATACAAGAAGAACTCCATCATTTTGAGAGGAACAGTGTATGACACCTGGTTCCATGACCTGCTGACAGTACTATTATAGGAACCAGGTGGGTATTCAGAAACAAACTTGATGGTTTGGAAACACAACAAGGAACAAGGCAAGGCTAGTAGTTCAAGGCTACAATCAGGAAGAAGGGATTGACTATGATGAAACTTTTTCTCTAGTTTCTCGAATGGAGGCCATCAGAATTCTTATTGACTTTGCATCTCATATGGAATTCAAATTATTCCAAATGGATGTCAAAAGTGCTTTTCTGAATGGCTTTCTAAAAGAAAAAGTCTTCGTTAAGCAACCACCTGGTTTCGAGTGCCATGAGCATTCCGAGCACGTGTTTAAACTTGACAAGGCATTATATGGACTGAAATAGGCTCCTCGTGCATGGTATGAAAGGTTGTCCAAGTTTCTTCTAGAAAATGGCTTTGCAAGAGAAAAAATTGACAACACTCTATTTCTGAAGAAACGTGGAGGAACCTGCTCGTTGTGCAAGTTTATGTTGACTACATCATCTTTGGTGCAACAAATGATTCTCTGTGTGAAGAGTTTGAAATGAGCATGATGGGAGAATTGAATTTTTTCTTGGGTTTGCAAGTCAAGCAAACTTCTAAGGGCACAATGATAAGTCAGCAGAAGTACATCAAAGAGCTTCTGAAGAGATTTGAGATGGAGAGTTTAAAGATCATTGATACACCTATTGCCACTGCCACTCTCCTGGATATGGAGGAACCTGGTTCTCCTGTAAACGAGACTATGTATAGAGGCATTATTGGGTCACTTCTGTATCTCACAGCAAGTAGACCAGACATTGCTTTCTATGTGGGACTTTGTGCCAGGTTTCAATCCAATCCAAAGGAGTCTTATCTGAAGTCTGCAAAGAGAATTCTGAGGAAAAGGACTTCTGAAGCTGAGTATCTGGCGGTTGCCTCTTGCTGTGCTCAATTGCTGTGGATCAAGCAGCAATTAGAAAATTTCGAGACAATGTTGAGAAAGGGCTCATCTGCATGAAGTTTTGCAGCACAGAAGATCAAATTGTAGATATCTTCACCAAAGCACTGAGCAGAGAGCACTTTGAAAAGAATTGATTGGCACTAGGGTTGATGAAGTCTAGCTAGGTGTTACATCCTATGTTTCCGTACGTTAAAAGTTTCGTCTTAAGGTAATCGATGTAAGTTCGGGAATTATATTATTTTGAGATTATAAGCATTTTGCTATTTCAAACAAGTGACGAGTAAATTCGTAATGGTGAGAGAATAAGCGAATTGAAGAAAATGAGTTTCGTCGAAATTTAATATTTTGGGATAAAATACGGCCCCAGCTAAAATACCCGGTATTTATGGACTAGTATCGTACAAGGTACCACATGACCATGATAGTAAGGTGTATAAGGTGTGTTTAAAGTGAGTAGTATTTTAAGTAATTTGAGATAATTCTTAATTATATGGGTAATTGGTTGATTATTGGTTAATAGGGGATTAATTAGTTAAATAAGATAATAATAATTAATTAAGCCTCTAAGATAAGCAAAGAACGTGGCATCCCCCCCTAAAACTTAATATGACTCTTAAGTCATTAATATAGGTGGCAAGCGTAAAAGATGTGGGCAAGTCTTGTAACATGAGTCACATTATTCATTTAAGGAAAGAGATCCATTTTTTAAGTCTTAGGAATATGAGTCATTAGTCATATATTCATCTAAGGAAAGAAAGCTTCAGTCAAGCATATAAGAACGTTCCAATTCCAATCACTTTCTCATCCAAGGAATATAAGCAACGTTAATTTACTTTCCAAAATAGCAACGTTGTTGTTAAGTTCTTAAGGAAAGATTTCGGCCAAGATTTTCTTTGCATAGCAACGTGATTGCTTAGAGCTTTTCATACGACTTGTTCCGTATTTTGTTGCAATTAATCTGTGTTAGAGTATTGTCAAGAGAATCGACTCAGGTATGTTAAGGCTATCCCTTCTTTCTTTTTGGCATGCTCCAAATAATATAAATGAAACGAGCAAAATCCGCAACTTTCATAAATGACTCTATTCATAAAAATACTAGAGGTGTCTATATTATTGATTACCCATGTGAATTATTATTATATCATATGTTCATGGGTCTCAGAAAAATACGTATTTGATAAAGTTTATCCGAAAGGCATATTGATTTTATGACATTTCGAAAAATCTTATTAACGTATTTCATATGCATTTCATGCATTTATACATGCACATTGACCCATGACTAGATGGCATTATATACGCGTATATATATGTATATATATATATATATATATATATGGGATATGAAAAAGGTTACGTCGTTATATATGCACCACCACCTTATCAGCTGATATACATTGATGATTTGCTCACAGTGGCCGAAATGATATGATGGGATGCCCTCAGAGGCTTGATGATGTTATGAACACATATACTTATGCATGGTATGACATTTATACGCATATGCATGACGTTATAAAAATGAAATGATTCACAGAGCTATGCAGACGTACATGTCGAGTCTTTTGTTCCATGTTTCTCTCAGGTATATTATTTACAGATTTTTATTCCTTTCATACTCGGTACATTATTTGTACTGATGTCCCTTTTGCCTGGGGACACTGCGTTTCATGCTTGCAGGTCCCGATAGACAGGTCGAGAGTCCTCCAAGTAGGCTATCAGCTCAGCAAAAGATGTTGGTGCGCTCCATTTGCTTCGGAGTTGCTTGTTTGGTCAGTATGATTTAGATATGTATTGTTTGGTATGGCGGGGCTCTGTCCCGACCTTTATGAAAATTATGTATTCTTAGAGGCTTGTAGATAGATGTCATGTACGTAAAAGATTATATGACCTTGTCTGCCTATGTTCAGTGTAAGAGTGGTTATTTTGGTCTTATAGGCCCATATGTCTTATGTATAAGTTGGTATTACATGTTGTATTCTACTTATCTCACGGCAACCTCTCTGGCTCAGTTATATATGATAGTGTGATACGAAAAGATATGGTATGTTGGTACTCGGTTGAGTAAGGTACCGGGTGCCCATCGCGGCCCATCAGTTTGGGTCGTGACAAAAGTGGTATCAGAGCTCAACTTCCTAAACTCTATCTTATTCATAATACGATGATGCCTACATCCAGAAAGACAGTTGGTAAGAGATATAGTTGTGGAAGAGTTGAATCAGAGGAACTCAATTTTTGCATCATGCTTATGATGGATAAATATAAGGTATTCAACAGATCATGTGTGTACTAAGATGTGTAAACTTCTTGATAAGGATCCCTAAGGCAAGAATGTCTATCCACTCTTATGGTAAAAAGGAATAAGAGAATCGAAAGGTAGACACTAGTTTCAGCAAGTAAAAGAAGCAAGATGAAAAAGGGTACGAGCTACCCATCTAATGAAGATTATCGCAGAGGAATATAAGCTTTTTGAGTTACATTCAACAATAACAGAGGTATGTACCATTGGCCACATCCATATCATTTAAGCCCTATGAGGGCTAATAGAAGTAGTATAAGAGAAGGCAGATATCAGGATCCAACTGGAGTTAGAGTAACCCAAACCGGTTGATGGATTGTTTGCGTTAGTTGACATTTTCAAAGTATATTGCAAATGTGCTAATAGATCTCCTTGTGAGACACCCAGATAGTGCACTCTAAAATAGTGTAGCTAGATATGAGTACTACAAAGATAGGCACTAGAAGCCTTGAAGGGATAAATATTACCTTAGTGTGGCTCCCGTCCCTTTTAGAGAAAGAATGTTAGGCAACCCGAAGAGCCAATGGATGGAGCAAGAAGCGCTAAAAGCAAAAGAATGTTTTGTTCGAGTTTTCAGAATAAGTAATAGACATAAATGTTAGCGGGAAATAATAAGAGACTTAAGAAAGCATTATGAGTAAGATGTGATACATGGATGACAACGCTAGATAAAAAAAATGACAGTATTACAGGGTCTATAGTCAAGTGAAGGAAAAGACGAGTGGTGACAGGCCTTGAGACAACAAAAGAATATGGGCCATAAAGTCATACCTTCATTTCGAGAAATAAGTTCGCGACTCTAACATAATTACAAGAAGGAAAGGTTAGACCCCAGAGTAATATAAATCAGTATAGGCTGGTGAACAAGATAAACTAAACATGAATTAGGGACTGAGTGATTTGATAATAGTCGGCATCATGAGAATTTTAGAGATTGCATTCCACCAATAATAGAATGGACGAAAGAAGAATAATCTTTAAAGGTCATTCAGGAAGATGCTTCTCTAAAGCAAGCAATGTGAGAAAAGTTAAGCTTAATGGACTATGTGTGCTAGTTACACTAAGTGTCACCCTCGAGAGTAAGGAATTTTGTTATCCTTGGTACAGAAGGATTGCCGCAAGGCCAGTAAGGGTCATCGATGATGTGAAAAGACGCCAAATATGAAAAGGTAAAAACATCTATACGTAGATCATCGTAGCACTAACTCTTAGTACTCCCATAAATGGGAAATATAGAGT